ATGGCTCAGTGGTCTAAAGCACCTACTTAGAACAAGCTTAGCAAAGCACAGGGACCACGGTTCAATCCCCCAGCACCACATGCCAGCCAGTCCCAACCCCGCCCCCTGGTGGGCTGAGCTGGCCACACACACATACACACACACACACACACACAAATAAAAAAAATAAAGAAAATTAGAGTGGATATAATATCATGCTAGCAGATTTCACAGCAAAGGACTTTATTATGATAAAGAAGGTTATTCATGATGAAATAACATGACATTAAATATTTACACATCTACTAATGGAGCTTCAAAAAACAAGAAGCAGGGGCTGAGGAGATAGCTTGGTAGCCTAAATGACTGCCTGGCAAGAGCAAGGTCCTGAGTTCAATCCCTCGTACTGCATGCCACACCAGCCCAAAACTGGCCATAGTGGCACACCCCTGTAATCCCAGTGCTGGAGAAGCTGAGACAGGAGGATCACTACGAATCTGAACTGCACGTAGTGAGACCCTGTATCAAAATATAAGAAGCAAAAACTGATGGAAGTTTCAAATCCATAGAGACAGTAGATTTATTAGTTACCTAGTGCAGGAATGTTTGAGGGAATGTGGGTGTGACTAATGAGTACAGTGCTTTTTTTTTTCCTGGGTGTTAAATTGTTCTAAAATTGACTATAGTGAGGTAATACAATTTTGAGAATTCTGTCAATGAATTGTACACTTTAAATAATAAATTCTATGTGAGTTCTACCTCAAGTTGTTTTTAGAAGAAGATTTACAGAGGCATCATACCAGATAGAAATCAGGACCTAGGGCTGGGAGATAGCTTGGCAGTCTAAAAGTTGAACCTGAACAAGGACCCAGGTTTAATCCCTGGTACCATATGCTGCCGACCCCAGGGCTGAGCCAGCCACCAAATAATCCCAACACTGGGGAAGCTGAGAAAGGAGAATCACTACAAGTCTGAGCTGTGTTGTGAGACCTGGTACCAAATACATAAATAAAAGATTTTTTTAAAAAAGAAATCAGGATCTATACAAAGTTGAGACAGTAGAAATGGCAAATATGTGGGTAAATATAATACTTTTCTTATCTAGCAAATAACTTTAAAAATGAAGCAGGCAAGATATTATACACCTATAATCTCAGCACTTGGAAGGCTGAAGCATGAGGATTGCGATGAGTTCTGAGGCCAGCCTGGGTCACACAGTGAGTTAAGGCTTGCTTGAACTATAAGGTGACACTCACTCTCTCCCAAAAAACTAAAACAACAACAACAAAACATCTTCTAAGGAAGCTGAGGCAGGAGGACTGCACAAGCTCAGCACTGGCAACTTATGAAATTCTCCCTCAAAATTAAAAGGTTGGGAATGTTGCTCAGTACGAAACACCCTAGCATGTATGAGGCCCTGAGTTCAATCACCTCTGGTGTTACCAAAAGAAAAAGTTTCAAGTAAAAATTATAACAATATATTTTGCATTTATAACATAAGATGCAAAATGTATGGTAACAGCACTAATACAGAAGGAGGATAAAAGCATATTCTTGTAACCTGCTTATACTATACATAAAGTGGTATTATTTTCCCTCCCTTCATCATGGAGGTTAAACTTAGAGCCTGAAACATTCTAGGCCAGCACTCTACCACCAAGCTACATTCCCGAAAGTGATATATTCTTACTTCCCGAAAGTGTTATATTCTTACTTGAAAGCTAGACTGTCAAAATGAAGATGTGTGTTAAAAACACTAAAGCAACATCTTAAAAAAAAAAAAAAAAGCAAAGAAGTGTGGCCAAAAAACCATCAAGGGAGGTTGAATCATAAACTGAATCATATTATACTTCTTTTAATATGAAAGAAGATCAACGTGCGGGGAGGGGACAAAAAAAAAGAGATGAGAGAAGATAACAATATACTTACTACCCCATTCATTCATTTATTGGAGACAGAGTCCCTACTGTATGTAGCTAGCCTTGAATTCCTGGTGATCCTCCTGCACAGCCTTCCTAGTGCTAGGATTACAGACATATGCCACCACACCTGGCTCAATCACTTTAATGAAAATGTTTTAAACACAAAGGGAAGAGCTTGTCTGGCTAAAAAGGACTCTATGAAACCCAATCAACAAGTGACCCAGGGCTGCAGAGATAGCTCAGCGCAAGGACCCAGGTTCGATCCAAGGTACTCCATGCCATGCCAGCTGCACTTCAGACAAGGCCAAGCCCGCCACCAAGATGGGCGTGGTGGTGCATGCCTGTAATTCCAGCGCTGGGGAGGATTACATCAAAGGTAAAATTTTCAAGTATGTACAGTGTTTGTCTCTTTTGAGACAACATATACCCCAGTTCCCTAATATGCCTACCCTTTTCAGCGGCATATTAGGAGGATTACTATGAATCCGAGCTGCAGAGTGAGACCCTGTACCAAATACATAAACAAAAAGTGACCCAATTTGAATACAAGTAGATTAAGATAGGTTAAATGTAGTAACATTTTAAAAGATGTTATCATTAACTAAAGGAAAGTTAGTTATATCAAAATACACAAAGAGAATTTCTAGAGAGTAAGCCAATGGCCTTGAGCATGCTAAGCAAGCATTCTGCTTACCCCTGAAGAGTCTCTTACTGATACAGAAGTTAAGCTACGATGCCATCACAGTCCTAAGTGTTTATACTCTTAACTTCAATATATGTGAAACAAAAACTGACAGAATTGAGAAATACACAAACCCACATTTGTAACTAGGCATTTCAAAAGCCTTCTTCTTGTAACCGAAAGAATTCTTTATTGCTGTAAGGCAAGGCTGTAATGGGCCAAGACAGTGGAAACACAGATGGAATGTGGCTAGTTTTTAAACAACAACAACAACACACACACACACTTTTTTTTTTTTTTAAGAGACAGGTTATTGCTAGTGCAGGCTAACCTTCAGCTTGTTTATGTAGCCCACGGTGGCCTCGAATTTATGGCAATCCTCCTGTCTCAGCCTACCAAGTGCGGGCACTACAGGCGTGCGCCACCACGTTAGCCTTCATATATAATCTTAGTATTCATACCTAGTGGCAGGCACCCTGAACAGTATTACCAGCTAATAATTTCCGTCTCTATGAGGAATCATTAGCATGTATATTTTCATTTTCGGCTTACTGTCAGTTATATACTCCTATTAAATACCTCAGAAGGGGAAAACCGATAACTTAATGTAGTAGTTTTCAAACTAGAGTATCAAAATTGCCCAGAGACTCACTGACATTCAGATTGCTCTGTCTCATCCCAGAATTTCTTAATTCACAAGGTTTGAGGGGGAGCCCGTGAATTTCCAATTCTAACAATATCACTGGTGATGCTGCTTAGAGTCAGGACTACACCGTGAGACTCCCTGGGCTGGACTCCTTTTCATTTCTTTTTTCCCATTGAGTTCTAGGCAGCAGGTCGGCTTCAAAACAAGTCACGTCCTAAGACATAACATCTCTGAGGAACGCGAAAGCGACTGAAAGACACAATAGCTAAGCAGGTTCCGGGCGTCCAAAGCCGCGCGAGAATTTACGTGACGGCGTCTGCGTCAGCGTCACGACGGCGTCGGACACGTTCGGCGGAGACGGGAGCAAGATGGCGATTCCGGGCAGGCAGTGAGTGAATTGGGAGTTAGGGATAGGCTGGGAATGAGAAGCTGCGGCGGCTGTGTCTTTGGCAGAGGAGTTAAAATACGCTGGAAGTGAACGGGCTATGTTAGCAGGAATAGAGACGGGAAAAAGGAGAAATCCTGAGCAATATAGATTTCCCTTCCCCCATACGTTTTCCAGGATGGAAGTCCGAAGTTTGAGGGAGAAACTTGTGAGGAAATAAAGGAAGTTAGGCTGAGGGGCAGAGAGCGAGACTTTTCTATTTTCCAAAAGCTCGGTCTGAGGCCCCTCAGTCTTGCTTCCTACCCCGCGCTTGAGTTTCTCCCCGGTTGGATGCTCTCAGGGGCACTAAGAAGAGAGACAATTCCTGATTTCCTTAGAGGGCCTTGTTCTCCTTGGTACAAGAAGCTCAAGTCCTGATTCCCGCCCTCCCTTCTCGTTTTAGGAATGTTACGCTGAGAAGCCACAGAAAAGAGTAGGCATATTAGGGAACTGGGGTATACGTTGCCGCAAAAGAGACAAACACTGTACGTACTTGACAATTGTACTTTTAATGTAATACTTTTGATGCGGCTTCCCGTCATCTCCACTCCTGAAAGGCCAGCACGTGAGAAACTCAGTGAGTTGAGGCTAAAGGGATGATTCTTTCAAATACACCAAGACAAAGCAAGTGAGCCTATAACGTGTAATGGGAACCATTCTCATGGATAGTTGAGTTTCTCAGTTAATTTTTGAAGAATTGTGGGTTATAATACCCAGTAGCTTCTTAAAAACTGTGTTAAGTACACAGTGGGGAGGGAGGGACCCTAACCATTTTCTTGATACGTCTTAGACCCCCAACGATAATTTAGAGCATTTTTATTTTTAGCAGACATGAACTAAACTTTTCGCTAAATTGTTTTTAAAACGTTGGTGTCATTTCTCCATCCACAACATTTCTGAACTCTTCATTTACTTCTCTGGATAAAAATGATATTTAAGTTTGACCTATGTCCACAAATACAGTAGTGAGTCATAATTACAAAAAAAAGACATACTGGGATTTTGAGACCATTGAAAGTCAGAAAATGTTATGTTCTTACGCTGTATGACATGTTTTGGTTTGATAGCCTCATTTGCAAGAGATAGTGGGTGTATTTTTAACATTTAAAGATAATGTTGTAATTTCTATTTCAAAAAAAATATGCAGGTATGGGCTTATTTTGCCAAAGAAAACACAGCAGTTGCACCCTGTTTTGCAGAAACCATCAGTGTTTGGAAATGATTCTGATGAGGAGGAGGAGGTAAGGGAGCCTATGTTTTATTCCTGTATTGTTAGAAATACAAACATTTTTAAATTGAATTCATGAGTTTGATGTCTTTACCTTTATTTCTCAGCACAGTGGTTTTGAAATATAATTTACAGAATTATCAAAAGAAATGTTTAAAGACACTTCACCAGTGTTTTTCATTATAAACTGAAGAGATTTTTCTTTTCAGAAGTTATGAACATTGTTACTTTTGCACAGTAGTCTTTTCAGACAACTAAAATTGATGTAACTAACCTATTGGTAGATTCCTAGGAATTAAATGTTAAAATGCTACCAATTTCCTAGAAATTTTTATTAGCAATGTACCTTCTAATTTGTTAACGTACTCTAGGAGTAACAATTTTTTATGGAACTACTTTTGTGGGGGGTTTTCGGTGTCTGTGAAATGTCATTACTGTGTTATAATTATGGTAGTGGATAAAGTTAACTGTAGATAATACTATGGTAATAACACTTACTGTGAACACTTTCTGTTTTAGCAACTGAAACAGTTTCTTCCTGTGAAACCCACTTTGCAGCAGAATCCCCAGATGTGTGCTTAATTAAGACTTGAGATTTTTTGTGTATGTATGTGTTTTCCTTAAAACAGAAACCTTTACATCCCTTAATCTCTGATACCTCTTTGCTCTAGCACAAAATAGCTTTTTCAGTTTTTACTAGCTATATAGTAAAAAAGGTAGATATTTCCTTTTTTTCTTTTTTGGAAAAAATTAGCTATATTTGATCATAATTTTCAAAGTTGGAGGTTAAGTTTATTGATAATAAAATTTGCATTTAAGTATCTAAATTGATGATTTTTGGCAAAGGCTTATCCCTGATACTATTGTTTTGGAATAGAACTTTTCTCTCTGTTCCAGAAGTTGTTCTGTGAACTTCTATAATCTACCTCCCCACATTTTACCCGAGAAAACCACTCATGTGAGTTCTGTCTGTTCTAGAATTTCATGTAAAAGAAATCATACAGTGTATAGTCTTTTAGATCTGATTTCCTTCAGTGAAATCCATCCATGCAATTGTAGAAGTATATTTTACTGAAAATGGATGGCTCACTTCATGTTTTTATTGTTTTGTTTTTATTTCCTCATAAAATTCAGTTATTAGCTTAAATTTATATAGACAATTAGATTATTTTCAAGTGTAGAGAAAATTAATAATTACAACTTTTTGTAAATTGTTCCATCAGTAAATACTTTGTATCTACTATCAGATAGAGTTGATTAGTTTTGTAGAAAATAGAAAACTTAAAATGGTTTGACTTATGGCTTTGACTTTATCACAGTGCAAAAGTAATAACCATTCAGTAGAAACAATATATTGAATTTTTGTATTTTCCCTAGGCTCATTTTACAGTACTGTCTTGCATTATTAAATACAAAGTACTATATAAATATAAATTTGTAAAGAAAACTAACATTGAAGATTCCTGAGCGCCATTGTATTTTATTTGATCTCTATGATATAAATACTCCTCTCATTTTATAGATGAGGAAAGGGAAACACAAGTATTTTGTGAGACCATGAAACTAATACAAATGCTGAGAGTAGGATTCAAATTTAGGCCTGTCTGGATCCAATCTATATACACTTTCCATTCTCTCTTGACAATTTTTTTTTTTTTTTTTTGATTCTGGGGATCTAACTCAGCACCTTGCACTTGCCAGGCAGGTGCTTATGCTGCTGAGCTATCTCCTTAGCCATCTTTTGCCTTGTTTTAATAATGGGATTATAAAATGTTTATGAGATAAAGAGGGTGAAATGATTAATCTGGCTAAAGGAAAACCAGGCATTTAAACAGCCTTCAAAGCTAGTATAGATTTTACTGTGTCAAAAAGATAAATGTTGGTATCATTTCAGTTGAGAGAAGACAGCAAGAAATACAGAGTGTGATAAAATTGTCAGGCATTTTTGTGCAGTACTGTTAGGTAGGAATGTGTTTATGAAAAATGTTGCAAATGAGGTTTTCTTAGGATTGGGTCAGATTATGAAGTACCTTAAATTTTTTATGGGAATCTTAAACTTTTTCTTTGTAAATATTTTTTTTCAGTATTTTTGTGGTATGATTACATTAAATGAAAAATGAGGACCTTAAGTATGGTGAGGTCAGTGAGAATCCAAGGAGACAAATAAGGAGAAATACCACAGAAATAAACAGAATCTGGCAGCCAAAGCAAAAAGAGACATAAGAAAGGAAAAATGAGTTGATTAAGGATTTTTATTCTGGATTGCTAAGAACATTAGCACAAGAAGAGATTTGCTATGTAAAATTATCTTTTATGAGTATAGGATTTTAAAATATTTATTCAGGTCCTTTGTACCCTACTGCAGTACTGATATTTAACCCAAGGCCTCACACTTGCTAGGCAGAGCATCCATCACTATGTGCACTTTGAGGATGTTTTATTCTATAGTCTAGTTTTAATTTGCATGCTAGTTTTCATCATTTCCTCCTTTTAAAATATGCTAATGAGATATATTCCATTTATTACATACTTTAACCTTTTAAAAATGCTGTATTTTTATTAGTGTTTGAGTTGTAAAATTAATCAGCATTTAATTTTAGAACATATTAATTACCAAGAAAAAAAGCCTGTACCCAGTATAGTCACTCTTCATTTTCTCTAGCCCCCGACACCCCACAAACACTAATCTACTTTTTCTGTGGATTTGTATGTTCAGGACATTTCATGTAAGTGAAATTATGCAGTGAGTGGCCTTTTGTTTCTGCTTTCACTTACCACGAAGTTTTCAGAGTTATACTTTATTGTCTCCTGCCCCTCTCATTTCTCCTCTTTCTCTTCCCTCTCTCTGTCTGGGGATAGAACCTCGTGCCTCAAGTGGGTGGGCTTTTAAGTTGTTTCCAGTATCTGTCTATAATAAATAATGCCACTTTCCACATTTGTGTACAGATAGTATTTATTTAACAACTGTTCAGACTTACAGCCTGTCAGACCTAACAGCCTGTCTTCTCTTTGGTGCAGTTCTGTATATCTTGTTTGTAGAATCTCTTACGTCTTTTTTTAATATGATACACCTTGTTTATACAGTATTGTAATTTTTGCTGATTGTACTGTTAAGTACAGTACTATAGTTTCAGGTTCTGTTATATATTACAGTACTGCATATAAAAGTTAATGCAAATAAGAATAGTCATAAAGTTGGAGTTTCCTTTGAACATTATTTTGTTCTGAATATTGTAATGTACATACTGTATAGGGCTCATTTAGCGATAAATTCAGTTGCAGGACTGTAACAGTTTTTAACTGAAGAATATCTGTATAGATTTTTGTGTTAGTATAAGTTTATATTGTTTTCATTTCTATTAGATATATATTGAAAGTAGAATTGCGAGTTTATGTAATTATGTTTTTTAACTTTTGAGGGGTTTCCAGACTGTTTTCTAAAGTGATTAATTCCATTTTGCTTGCCCTTCAGCAGTACATGAGGGTTTCAACATTTTTACAACCTTTTCAACATTTTTCTTTTTGAGACAGGGTTTCACGATGCAGTTCAGGCTGGCCTTGTCTCACTTTGAAGCCCAGGCTGGCTTTGAACTCGCATGGCTCTTCCTGCCTCAGCTTCCTGAGTGCTGGCCACACCTGGCTCTTCTACATTTCTTACATTTTTTTTATTATAACCTAGTAGATGTAAAGTGATAATCTTGTGGTTTTTGGTTTGCATTTTCTTGATGTCCAATGATGATGAATTCTGTATCTTGGGGAAATGTCTGTTTTGTATCGTTTACCCATTTTTAATGCTATTTTATTAATTGTAAGAATTCTTCATATATTCTAGGTACAAGTATCCTGTTAGATACATGATTTGCAAATATTCTCCTTCTGTGGGTTGTCTATACTTTCTTGGTGATGTCCTTTGAAGGACATTTGAATTTTGAGGAACTCCATTTTATTATCTTTTATTAGTGTTTTGGTGTCATTCCTGAAGAAACTCTTGCCAAATCGAAGGCCACGACCATTAACACCTATATCTTCTAAGAATTTTGTAGTGTTGGCTTTTAAATTTAGATCTTTGATCCATTTTGTGTTTTTTCTTAATATGTTATGAATTGTATGATTCCAGTTTCATTCTTTTTTGCATGTGGGTATGCAGTTTTCCCATCATTTATGAAAAGATGACTTACCATTTATTTTCTGGCATCTTGTGGTTTGTTTTGTTGTTTGGTTATTAAGATCACTTAATATAAATATTACAGAAACAAAGGATGTGCTTTTTTTTTTGGTCTCAAATTAACTTATTCTTGCATTTTGTGTAATATAGAGCAACATGAAGTTACAATACCGTACCTTACTTTGAGAAGGTCAAATATTAGATCTAAAATGGTTTAGATATAAACTGTCCCCCAATATTCTCATGTACTCAGAGGTGGGGCTTTTGGAAGGTGATTGGATAGTGAATGGTGCTGTAGCTAACTTGCTGTTAGAAGATGGGGCCTGGTTGGAGGTCAGTCACTGAGGGCCAGACTTGGAAAGGTATATGTCCCTTCCACTGCCTCCTTTCTCTGCTTCCTGGCCAACATTTGTGACCAACTTTTCCTTCACTATGACCCTCTACCTTTGTATATCTGCCTTGGAGCAAGCCACCCTTGGACTGAGAACTGTGAAACTCTCCTTTAAATTGTGGCTATCCAGTATTGTGTCCTAGCAACAAGAAAGCAACAAGACACAAGCACTCTAGAAAGTTTTCTCAAGAGTAAGAATAGTTGAACACAGTCGGAAAAGATAGGCCTGGGCTTTTACCTATACATAGAGGGATTGTATTTCAGAGAATTGATTATATAGGTGCTTGAAGACTTGAGAAGCCCAATAGGGGAATCTGAAGCTGTCCAGGTATGAGTAGTAGTAAGAAGTACATATTGTATAAATGGCGGGATCTAGGTAGGTTGATGTGTCTTTGATGCCAGAGACAAAGGTTAATTGGCTAAATTAGTTTTTAACTGGAAGGAGTTGAAACCAATC